GGCTTCGTTAAAGCTGTCAGGCAATTTCCTAGCCAGAAAGGCCACTGTGAAACTGACGAAGGCCAAAATTCCCAGATAGGCGAGGGCAGCATAAAACATGAAAGCTGAGCCTTCATTACATTCCAAAATGGCTTCTCCTACCAAGGAGTGGAAGTCCATGTTGGGAAATGGAGGAGAAATTACCAGCCATGTGGCACAAAGAACTGCTTGGATCAGGGGACAGGCTATGACAATGGAGTTGGTCAGAGGTTTTCCTAAGAATTTCCTTGCCCTGTTCCCCGGTTTGGTGGCCATGAAGGCCAGAACCACCATGACTGTTTTTGCCAAGACAGAGGAAACTGCCAGGGAAAAGAGAATGGCAAAGGCTGATTGTCGGAAGAGACAGGTGAGCTTCCCAGGTCGACCAATGAAGAGGAAGGAGCAGAGGAAGCAGAGCAGGAGGGAGACCAGGAGGATGTAGGTGAGATCTCGGTTGTTTGCCTTGACAATTGGTGTGTCATGGTGTGTATGGAATATCACCAAGATCGCCAATGTCATCATACAGAGAGAAAGCACTAGAGAAGCCAAAGTGTATCCCAGGGTCTCTTGATAGGACAGGAAGTGGATCTTCTTCACAATGCAATGGTCTTTGTCCTTGTTGGGATATTGGTCTTCTGGGCAAGGATCACAGCGAGCTGCATCTGAAATCAAGATAAAATGAGAAGATGAAAGTCTTTCTCTAAAGATTTCGAGGCATTTCTCATGGGAAATATCTTTCCCTCAGGCGTGACATGATTGTCCCCTTTCTCTTGTGGCCAAATGTTTTGATGGAATGAGCCACTCAGCACTTTAGGGTGCATCAAAAAGGGCAAGTCAACTTTCATTTATGATGACCCTGAGAATAGGTCAGTCAGAAACAAGTATCAGTTTGTTTTTGAGAAAAGCAAGATCCTCTCCAATCACCCGTCACTTCCATGGCTACGGTGGCTTTCAATTGTCAAAGAGATTTACAATTTTTTTCCTACTTTCTTTTGGTATCCCCAGAAGACGGATAGATCTTCATCAAGAAGGCCTGCTCTTTTTTAGTCTGTGTGCAATATCAATTTGGGTATGTGCCAGGGGTTGTTTCCGGCATTACTGCTGGTTCAGTGTACATGTGCAGTTGACTGTAAATAGGTCTGTGCATATGCAGAACATTAAAAATGGAAAAAACCATGCCATAGTTACTGGGGCCCTAGTTCGGGGGCATGGTGAGTCTGCCATCCCTACCAGTTCGGCGACCCAGTTGCAATTTCCATTACCGGTTCGCCTGAACCGGTGCAAACCGGTAGCAACCCACCTCTGGTGTGTGCTGAGAAGATGAGAGGGATGGAGAGACAGAGAGGGAGGGAGGGAGGGACCAGGTATCAAATATTTCTATTGTTCATTTTTCCTTTCTTTTGCAGGAAAGAGCTAGCATATATCTGTAGGTGCATCTCTCTCACGGATCTAATAATTTTCAGGGAGACTGATAGTGCTGAAAGAAGCAGGACACACTGTAAACAACAAAAATTGAACCTTGAACCACACATCCCACAACTTCAGGAAAACATTGGTTGTTGGTTTTCCCAAAGGAATACAAGAACAGAAAGAATAGACGTTCACATGTAAACTGTACCCTGAAACTACCCTTTTATTCATGAATGGGAAAAAATGGCCTGGACCATTTTAGATACATAAACTAAGAAGAATAGATACATAAACTAAGAAGTTCTCCAACGGGCTCATGATTCCAAGTTGGCAGGGCACTTTGGATTTGTGAAGACGCTGCATCTTGTGAAACAACAGTTTTGGTGGCAATCTTTGAAGAAGGACATGTTTGTGCGGCCGCTAAATGCCCGCCGAGGAAACCGCAGGGTTTACTCCAGACTGTAGCTCGCCCTGTCGCCCCCTGGAAGGAGATTTTTATGGATTTCATTGCCAAACTTCCTGAAAGCCAGGGGCACACGGTCATATGGGTGGTTACTGACTTGTTTTCCAAGCAAGTTCATTTNGGGATTCACAGATTGGATTATGGGATGGGCTTACCAGGGGGAGGGGGTTGGGTCACATATTGATATCTATTATTTCGCGCGCTTTTGCCTCAGATCTTGCTTTGCTTAGCTGCTATCTTTTCATAATCAGTAAAAGAACTCTTAATTCTGCGGAATGGAGTTAAGTGTTTTCTTTCTTGGTTGCTGAGGGAGGCTGGCTTGACACGTGCTCTGGCAGTCGTGAAGATGCTCCAAAATGGTTTCAGGGTTGACACCAATGGTTATTCATCGGGTATGACTGGTTGAGAGGAGAGAAGGACCAGGGGAGACACATTAGAAGTGTTCCAATATCTCAGGGGCTGCCACAAAGAAGAGGGGGTCAATTTATTCTCCAAAGGACCCAAAGGCAGAACAAGAAGCAATGGGTGGAAACTAACCAAGGAGAGATCCAACCTAGAACTAAGGAGGAAATTCCTAACAGCAAAGACAATTAACTAGTGGAATGGGTTCCCTTCAGAGGTTGTGGGTGCCCAATCCAAATCTAAAATAACCAGAACTAAAATCTTGAGAAACTTTAAAAACAAAAATAACCTTAACTAAAATTTGGAGAAATTTTAAAATTTAAAATAACTTCAACTACATATCAACAGTCCAACTAGCAAATCCAAAAAAAAGTAGGCACTCTCAGGAACTTTGTACTCCCAGAAGCAAAACTTTAATGGATACAACATTTCGTTATTGAACAATCAAAACCAACTCTGTTTTTCCCCACACAGGGCTTGCACAGTTAAATAATAGCTTCTCCTTCTCCCCACCCCTCGCTGTTCACATTGTCCAATTAGGAATCATCCTTTTGTTCTGAGATTAGTTTATTTCTTTGTCAGACACCAAGAATAAATGGCCTTGGTGGTTCTTGGTTCTTACGGTCTATCCCAATCCAAATATGCCTCAAAGATAAATATAAATGTTGCATTTCCCTGAATTACTTAGAGATTCTTGTTTCTTATCATATTTTCTTTACAATTAAGATCAGGCCTGAATAGGATAATGTAGCATTTGGGNGAACTGCCGAACTGCCAACCTTTCTGACCGACAAGCTCAGTGTCTTAGCCACTGAGCCACCGCGTCCCTCTTGTTGGCCTAGAAAAATCCAAAAGGGTCTGATTTGATTTGACTGGTGAAAAAATGGGCCACACACCCATTGTGCCTAACAGTATCCACGGATCTCAAGTATAGCCTAGTTAATGGGGGAGAAAAGGAGGCAACTACCTGGTCAAAGCTTATTTAAAATAATGGCATATTTTAAAAGCTGAATTGACTTGAAACAGAATTGTATAAGTTCCTTGCTAAACCACTTTCAGGATATATTAGGCATAACAATACTTTTAAACATGAAAATAGCTTTGAACAATCTCCAAAGAAAAGTATTTTAAAGGAAAAGGGTTTTTTTTTTAGTAGCACATTAAATTGGATGTGAATTTGACAGATTTCAAAGACCATCAAAATAACGAATTTACATCATAAATGTGCAGGCTTTCTTTCTAAAGGCACTTCAACAACTCAGGAAGGCATTTAATGGTGAGCAAGTTCAAAGTATCATGGACTCCCACTGGTATAAAAAGGAAGCAATACCTACCATCGTCTCTCTGTTTCAGATAATGTATCTGTCTCTTTTCAAGTTAATAAACTGCACTCCTGTCAAATTGCAGATAAATGAAAGCGACCAAGACATTGTTTTTCTCGCATATTGCTAAGAAAGATATCGCCCAGTATTTCTGAACAACTGGTATGCTAAAGAGAACTTGAAGTGAATCCACCCTGCAGTTATTTTACAGCATCAAAGACAATGAAATTTCCACAGAGGCATTTTCTGAACTTTTAAATGCTTTCTTTCCAATGGCGGCTCATTAAGAAGTTTCCAGATTTTTTTTTTAAACGGTTTCAAAGGCAGCCATCTAAATTTTTAATCATTCATTAGTGCTCTATTACTCTCTATCTTGTATATCACAAGGATATGATTGCCTTTTTAAAAAAAGCTGCACCCTAATATCACCCTGTTGTTCTTCCTCATTAGTACGTAAGGTGCTTTGGTTTATCCCCCCCCCTCCCAAAAGAACCCTTTGAAAAAAAATCTATTTCCCCCACTTTCTCAAGCAAAGGGGGAAAAATATCTATTTACTGGAAGATCAATCCTGATCGCCACTGGGGCTTGACCCTTCCAATGTAAGGAGGCAAACCTTGCGTAGGGAGCAGTAAGATAGTGCCTTCTATTGACACAGAATTTCATTCCATCTTCCTCAATATTGCTGACAATGACTTTCAAGGGTTACTCTGGGTTGTAGGATGGGAGTCCCTAAGGACGTCATGGCGAACCTATGGCACGCAGTGCCCCCTCTGGCCCCAGTTCAGCCCTGCTGTGCTTCCTGCACGTGCTTCCTGCTGGCCAGCTGGCTTTGGGTCTCTGCTGCACATGTGCAAGCGGGTGGGGTGTGTGCAGGGAGGGGGGAAAGGACGCATGCGGGGGGTGCACATGCACATGGTATGCATGCAGGGGGGGGGAATGTATTGTATATTGTATTTTGGGGGTTCGGGCCCGCGCTTTGGGCACTCATTCCAGAAAAGGTTAGCCATCACTGCCCTAAGGCTTTTCTCTACAGAGGCCAGAGATACAAACCAGGGGGGGTTGGTACCGGCATTACTGCCAATTTGGCGTGCAAAAAATGCTGCCTGAAAAAGTCTGTCCATGCGCACAACATTAGAAAAGGGGAAAAAATTAAATTTTTCAATGAAGATTGTTCTGCGCATGTGCAGAACCGAAAATCAAGATGGTGGCCCCACCGATAGAACCAGCTCGGGGGCATGGCAGACCGAGTTACTACCTACTCGGCTGAACCTGTCCGAACTGGTAGGAACCCACCTCTGATCCAAACTTCCGTAGGTGGAACATGTGCATTGTCCCTGAGCAATAGTATAGTCACATAAGGTTAAAGGTTTTCTCAGCTTTCCGGCCTCCATCCATGTGACTCCAATAGCACCACTACACTAGGACAGTGTTAAATATTATTGCTGCTGAAGACTAAGGCAGGACAATTTAGAATAAAAAATAAAATATATTTTTTATTCTAAATTTAAAAAAGGTGGGCCTCTGGGGGAGTGGGAAGGCCGTTTTTGCCCTCCCCAGGCTCCTAGAAAGGCTCTGGAGCCTAGGGAGAACAAAAAATGGATCCACTGTGCCATCGCATTCCAAAAGTGTGGGGAGTGTGGAGGGGTCATGTGCACATGCTGGGGGGAGGGCACATAGAATTATGGGTGTGAACACACATGCACACAACCCCCCCCCCACACTCCCCCCACTTCTGGCATGCGATGGCAAAAAGGTTAGCCATCACTGGGCTAGGGTGTCCCAGGCTGGTTTTTATACATAAGGTGGGACTAGAACTCACAGTCACCCACTTCCTAGCCTAGTGCCTTAATCACTAGGCCAAACTGGCTATTCATACATACAATGCCTGGGCTCACTTTGGAAATCCACTAGCAATGGTATATAATACACCTACTTCTTACATGAGTATAACATTGTAATGGGAAGAGTTAGGAATGACCTTGAGGAACAGAAGGAAGGGCTGCAACCAAGGCCATGTTCAGAAAATGAAATCTGAGTTCGGGGTAGAAATGTAATTTGAGTAAGCATTTCAGGCATGATCTTTCCTCGTTCTCACGAAGGTAAAAGAAGGGAGGGATGGGGGGAGTGCATTCAGACTTGCCAGATTCTATTCCGGTAACCTCATAATAAAAATAGTATTAACATTCATGTCACCGGCATCCTAATCTGGTCTGCCTTGAAGGGCTGACAAATATTAACAAGTAAACAAAACATGCTCAGTTGTTTCTACCTTCCTATTCGCATAGGGACACAATTGTTTTAAACAGGATCTTTTCATATTTCCTTCCTATAACTAGGACTGCCAAAGGAAAAAAAAAATAACCCAATGTTCCTTGTCAGGGTGAAAACTCTTCTATGTTCTGTAGAAGTTAATTATGTGAAATACAAGTTTTATGAGGAGCTTCATGAATTGGTCCACTGGCAGTTTAAGGACTCTGTGTCAGTCAGTTTGCCTGCATACCACATAAGACAGCCCTGGAAAGCTCTCTCAGACATAGGTAGGTTCCTACCGGTTTGGCTGGGTTTGGCTGAACTGGTAGTGGTTTAGCGGCCTGAGTCCCTGGACCGGGCAGCGACTCAGGCCTGCCATGGCCCTGAATCAGTTCTCCTACGGGGCTGCAGAACAATTTTCATTGCACAAATTTATTTATTATCTTTTTTAAAAATGTTTTGTGCATGCCCAGACCTATTTTTGTGCAAATGCGCACATACGTGTGTGTCTGGTGTGTGCGCGAGAGAAGCAAGCATGTGCGCGTGAAATTTTTGCACACATCAAACTGGCAGTAATGCCGGGAGCAACCCACCCCTGATGGAGACGCTCAAGTTTCAACACTGGATGAATCAATTACACCAGAAGAATTCAGGAGATTTCTCCATTGAAACTTGCCAGGTTGAACCTATGTTCTGGGACTACATTAAATAGAATGTTGTCTCCTCACTTGCTGTTTTGATAGCTACACGGACACACACACACACTCACAAATTGATAGGGTGCTAGACTAGGTTCTGGGAAACAGGCAGACAGTCCAGTTTCTCAGGGTTTAGAAAACTGGTTTAGAGCAGGGGTGTCAAACTCAAGGCTCATGGGGCAGATTTTGCCTGTGGGGTACTTAGATCTGGATGACGGGCCACCCTAGAAACAGCAAAGGACAGGCCCGTGGTGTCCCTGCCAGCAAAAATGGCATATGGGCCATCACAGGTGCCCACGACACGAGTGACATCCAGCTGGAAATGCAACCCTGGCCACGCCCCCGCCCCTCCTAGGTCAACCCGGATGTGGCCCTCAATGACACCCCTGGTTTAGAGAAACCCTGCGCTAGGCTGAGGCCAAGCTTGCTGAGTTCTATAAACAGATATGGGGTCGGCTTAGAAAAGAACCATATCTGCAGCACTGACATAGTAGTTTTCATACATTTCCATGGCATGTCTGTAGGGCATTCAATATTATTTTCTGCCATTATTCACGGAAGATGAGAGTTTCTAACTTAACTGATTGATGAAAGATCCTTCCAGACTCACCATCCATTCTTTTAACCAATGCACTACCCTGGCTCTGTAATCAATTAGAATCAGGAATAGAGGCAGCTGGTAATGATTGTTTTTGATGTACCTAGTCCAGGGCTCCAGAGGGAAACTACAGTACTCTGTATTGTAGTTGTAATTAAATCCCTATGGACTGTCTGTCTGTCTGTCTGTCTGCCTGCCTGCCTGCCTGCCTGCCTTTCTTTTTTTCTTTCTTTCTTTCTTTCTTTCTTTCTTCCTTCCTTCCTTCCTTCCTTTCCTTCCTTCCTTTGAAGAAATGATAATCTTTCTCTCACCAGTTGCATCTTCCATGAGA